AACTAGTGACTTTAAATTAGAGGTCTAGACAGCTGTGATTAGTTTGTTTGCCTATTTTTCATACTTACAGCCCACCCTTCTCTAAGTGCCCCCCGGGCAGCTTACAAAAAGCAACACAATTAAAGTAAGTTTAATGTACATACAAATAAAAATCACAAAAACAACCATTAGATGAGTGGTCAGGGGTTTCACACAACCACCTTGGCTAATTAGACTAAATGATCCTTAGTCTTCACTGTATATATTTGATCCACTGACCTTTATATTTTACAGCAGGGGTGGGGAACCAATTTAACAATTGAGCACACATAAGTATAACATCATTTATTATAGAATGTATGGAATTACTATAAAACAATCTCACTAGTTTGGCATCACGTATAGCAACACCTGTACAGAATTGAACCTGGAACCGTCTGCATGCACAGCATCATCTCTACTAGTGAGTTATGATAATTACAGCCTGTGACTAGAGTCTTCAGAGAAGGCTGGAGTCAAGTGCTGTTGAGGCAGCAAGATGCTAAACACAAACTAGGAGAAACCCACTTAGTCTCTTGCTTGCAATGTCTTCATGGCTGGACACATCATGCCCAGAGGGAGAGGGAGAATGTTGCTAAAATGGTTTCTGTTTGGGAGGCATTTTAATTAGATTAAGGTCTTAATTGGCTGATGCTTGCAGCTTAGCATAATGCATATGAAATATTTTAAATCATGCAGATTGGCTTGTGTTTAAAAGATGAACCAGACATTAGTCTTAATATGTTTCTCATGATACTGCTTTCTCCATTAGGATGAGAAAAGTTGTGCACGCAAATCAAATAAAGTATTTTTGTAGGAGTTGAAGCATGTCTTGAAATTCATTGAGCTATCCTACTGTGAGTAAGGCTAGGAGCTGCTCTTTCAGAGGTTTCACACTGGAAGAGGAGGCTCCACTTCCTTCTGAGCGTTTGGTGACTGTAGGGAGTACTTGGCTTGTCAGGCTTTCCCTTTACGTCTGGATAAGGTAGTGCAAGATTTTCTTACTTTGAAACTTCTTACCCTAAGAAGTTTAAGCAAAGATGTATTAAGTATTCCTGTGACTTTGTTTGTATTGGTTGAAATGGGACCAAGATGCAAGGATTTGTTTTCTCCTACTCTCTTCTTTTCTGTTTCTTTTTATTTTCATAGATAGATATGATTGGGGTTTCTTTCTGCTTACTTTAGACTGGGAGGTTCACTTCATAACCTGGTTCACACATTGCCTTTAACCATAGTTAAAATAAACTTAACTTGGATTCCACTGATAGATTTGTTTTTCTGGTTTTTTTGGTCAAACTATGGCTTGTTTCCAGGCAGGACGAAGGGAGGGGTGAAACACCTGCGACTTCCAGTACTATACACCAGAACATTATGTGAAGGAATGAAGCACCACAGGAGAACTGGCCCCATATTGCTCAGGAGTACACGGTGTATTAAGTGGTCCAGAAATGCTTTACAGATATTTCAAACATCTGCTGGGGTCCACAGCAACACCATTGGCTCAGAAGGGCTAAAAAACCCCTCAAACTAAAATTATTTAAAGCACATAAAGGTAAAGGTACCCCTGCCCCTACGGGCCAGTCTTGCCAGACTCTAGGGTTGTGCGCCCATCTCACTCAAGAGGCCGGGGGCCAGCGCTGTCCGGAGACACTTCCGGGTCATGTGGCCAGCGTGACAAGCTGCATCTGGCAAGCCAGCGCAGCACACAGAACGCCGTTTACCTTCCCGCTGGTAAGCGGTCCCTATTTATCTACTTGCACCCGAAGGTGCTTTCGAACTGCTAGGTTGGCAGGCGCTGGGACCGAACGACGGGAGCGCACCCCGCCGCGGGGATTCGAACCGCCGACCTTTCGATAGGCAAGTCCTAGGCGCTGAGGCTTTAACCCACAGCGCCACCCGTGTCCCTTATTTAAAGCACATGGAACGTATAAAATAGGTGGTTTGGAAAGCAATTAACGGAATTAGTGTTCAGTTAATATACAGGTATTGGGCTCCACACTGACATCTAGTGGGCAGTCTCTTTCTTGTTAAGAGTTTTTAAAGAAATAGCGAATTTGAAGTGTTTTGCTTGCTGTATCATTAGCAAGCTTTTCAACATGTGCAGTCTAATTTAAATAAATCAGATCCAAGTATTAGGAAAAGTTTTGCTCAGTGAATGGTTTGTTAGAACCTGAACCTACAGAGTAGTTAAACCTACTTTGGTGCAGATCCCATCAGTAACCTGGATGGATGGCACTGGGAATCCAATTTAAGAGTAATATCTAAGTATAATAATCAAAACATAGAAGTTGAGTGTTCTTACGATTGATGAAATGTAGGTAGTATTTCAGAATTTAGAAGTACCAGATGACTTTGTGGGCTTGATGGAGCTGAAAATACGTTGTACCTTCTTGATGGGGCTTACTGTAGTGACTTAGCCAGAGCTGTGTAAATAAGAGTGGACGTACAAATTGATGTGGGATACATTTGGAAATGGCTACTGGACATAATGGTTAATAAATGAATCTTGCTGTTCAGAATTGGGGCATTCCAGTTACTAGTGCTAAAGACAAATAGGACATTTCCTATTTCCTCTCTCAGAAACCTTTTTTATAATTAAATGTCCTGTGGATATTACATTTCCCTGTTGACATTAGCATGGTGTAGTATCTTTTTTAAAGAATGAGCAAATATACTAGTTTGTTAATGCAGCACAACCCTATGCATATTTACTCAGCACTTACTCCCACTGAGTTCAATGGGACTTAACCCCTGATAGATGTGTGTAGAATTGCCACCTAAAAGATAAAGCAATAGAGATTATAATTTGATTAGCCTAAAGACACGCTCACTTTTATGGTGTGTGTTTTTTATTTAGAACCAAGAATAAACTTCAGCTGTGCTAATTTCAGCGCTCAGAAGTTGTGCTGTATCAGTGAACACACCTAACATCTGCATACATGGAAATTGTGATTGCACAGTTCAAGGGACGTTGTGCTGAAGAGAGGGAGATGTGGTAAAGGTTAAGATAAAATCTCCAGTTAGCCACATCCCTGGCTGTTAAGGTTGCTGCAGGCCTCTTGGGTGCGTCCTTATGCAACCCCTAATCTACCTGCTATAAAACTTACATAAAACGATTAAGCTGAAATGAATAACCTGACATATTAAATCGGCATCCCATGCTGGCCTAATATTGGCCACTAATATAAAACATGCACAAAACAGACTCTGACTTTGGTAGAAACGGAACTGCTTTACAGATCATGGGTTTATGCAATTGCGCTGCTTTGGTGTGGAGTAAATATGCAACACTGTTTCCCCTGCAATTATTAACCGAAAACAAATATCTGTGAGTGACAGATAAGCAAAATCTCACACCACTGGTAGGAACTAAAACCCCCTACTTCTGATAGCTTGTGGTTCTGGGGATTCATTTATAATAAAGTGATGAGTCATGTACAAACTCCAAGAGCATCATTAACCAGCACCATGCAAAGTTAATCCCGTGGGTTGCAGCTTTTGTTGCACTGGATATTCCTTGGTACAGTGGATTTAGGTGTGCCTAAGTTTAGATTGGATATATACCAGCTTGTAGTGTACAGCTGATGAAATGGACAGGGTTTTTTATAGCATATTCTTCACATTTTCATAGAACCTTCTATGATCGTGCATGGTTTATTATGCTTCAGTTTTGCCTGAAAAAGGAGGATGTTGATTCTTGTATGTTTTGAATTCTTGGGATATACAGTGGTAGAATCTGCTTTAATTTTTGAGGGTAGGTGGGAGAATTCTTCCTGTGAAACCTGTGGAGGTTTTTGAGCCTTTATAGAGAACTATTCCCTGTATTATATTTGTCTTTGCCATGTTTTTTAAACCCTTGACTTCGACTCCTGAATTTGAATTTGTGACCTTTGGATGAAGAATGATGGAGAATTTTTTTGATGTCATTGCTTGGCTATTCACTGTACATGTGTACAGTCATACCTCATGTTACGGATGCTTCAGGTTACGTGTTTTCAGGTTACAGACCGTGGGAAACCCGGAAGTACTGGAACGGGTTACTTCCAGGTTTCGCCGCATGTGCAGAAGCGCTAAATTGCGCTTTGCGCAGAAGCACCGAATCGCGCCAGCACCTGCGCAGACGCGGTGCTTCAGGATGCGAACGCTGCGAGTTGCGGACGTCCCTCCGTCACGGATTATGTCCTCAACCTGAGGTTCCACTGTATAAAGTTATAATAATCCTTTCTGGCTCAATTTCTGCTATAAGTCTTCTCTCCCCCCCCCCCCATAATTTATGTAGCAACTTACTCTGCACAAAGGCTAGCAGTGTTAGCCCTAGTGCTCTAGGCTAAGCTGTTGCATTCCGTTTTTTCTCTTGTCCAAGACTTCACCTCAGAGCAGACCAATTCAGGATGATGTGGGCATCTTCAGAGCATGCCATGGAGCACCCAGCCCCTTCCAGTTTACTTTTTTGAAATTGAGTGACTAGTTGTTTTGTTTTGTTTTGTTTGTTTGTTTGATTGGAGGGGCATTTCCTTTGAGGTGGGGAAGGGGTTGCCTTTTTCATGGTTGTCAGTTTTGGGATGTGTGTACAAGAGTGCTGCATGTTGTTTTGAAGAAACCGTTCTGAGCATTGGCTGGTTTTTCTTCTGTGAAATGGATATTTTGTAGATCTCCAAATAATGCCCCTGCACTCCAAAAGGTTGAAGTCCTCTGTCCAACACTATTTAGATATAGTGTGTGTACTTCCCTTGGAACCTTTGGGTTGAAGAGAAGAATGCAGACTTAACTAATTTAACTAAATCTCAGCCTCTTTAAATCCATTGGTTACCTTTTTCTTTTTTAGCAGCTTCAGTTTATTTGGCTGTTAAGTGTTGTAAAAATGTCTTGTGATGAGATATTCTTTGGCGTTTAACACATATTCTGATGTACGCATTTTGCTGCAATGCTCTCAATGTTACTATCATAATATTTAAAGTAAAATGCAATTTCTTTTGTTGCAGCCAATCACACCACCAAGCCAAGGAAGGCCAGATTCACCAGTTTATGCTAATTTACAAGAACTGAAAATATCTCAGTCTGCACTCCCACCTTTACCTACAAGCCCTCCAATCCAAATTAATGGGGAATGGGAGACCCACAAAGATACTACAGGACGCTGTTACTATTACAACAAAGGAACACAAGAGAGAACCTGGAAACCCCCACGTTTCACTCGGGATCCAAGCATAAGTAAAGCAGACTCTGTGAATCAAGTAGATCAAGAGGTAAGTTTAATTGATGCTAACAGCATCCAGCAATGGTGGACAAACTTCAGTTAAAGAAACCCAACCAACCAGTGGTTTTAATTTTCCCACCTCAGTTATGGAACTATTCACTGAGTTTTTGTTTTAGTTTATTGAGGAGGACATCAGAACCAAGTCTAATCAAATGGTCCTTGCTTAAAAGTCATGCAACAGAAGCGCTTGACCCTCTTTTTCCCCCTTTAGGGAGCATCCCATCCTAGCCTGCATTGGTGACACGTGTTTTCTCAGACCTTGTTCACATGTTGTGGGAAGCAAATTATGGCTTACTGGGACTGCATGAATGTGTGGGTTCCCAGTGAGAAGCTCCTATCTGAGCTAAGCCAAAGTTTGTCTTAGTATGTCATCAGGAGAAAGAGGTTCATCTCTCTTCTCACCAACCACCATCTTGTCCACAGCTCCTGGTTAGCAAGGAAAGAACTGAACCATTAGTTTTGGTTTGGATGACACACTCAGCAAAACCTTAGCTTAGCTTTTCGCAACACAGGACCTAAAAAGACCCAAGAGGATCAAAGCAACTGGGATCTCTTCTGTGGGAGCACTCATGTTTGCACAGTCCCAGTTAGTTATAGTTTGGCTTGCAGTGATGTGTAAACGAAACCATAATGTAGTAAGAGCAGGGGGAAACCCTTCCCAGTTTTACTGACGGTTACATCTTTAACATGTTATTACTGCAAGAGCTTCTTGGTTTCCTTCTCCATGGTCTCTATGGCCATGAATTAGCTTTGAATTAGCTTCTTATGTCGAGTAGTAGGTGTGGGTCTTTGCCAGATATTCTAAAAGCAATTTTTAGTGTTGTGACTGATGTGTCTTAACATTAGCAGAAAGAACAGAAGGCCTTAATTCTAATGAAATGTGTCTGTGTGTCCAGTCAATGTTTATGTGCTTGTTGGCAGGGGAAATATTGACAAGCATATGGAAAGCAAAAGGGAAGAGATGGACCTGAGAGAAAAAATCTGTTAATAGCTTGGGGGGAGGGGGAATGTAAAAAGTAAATTTATTGTCTAGAGCATTATTACTTTTGTGTGTATCCATGTGTGTGATACTTTTTCTTGCGCTTGTTTTAAGGTGGCATACACTTGCCTTCCCCAGTTTTATTGACTGACATTTCTGCCTCTTCATTGTTTGTTGGGTTGGATTACTGGTATGTCATCTGATAATTTTAAAATAATTAAGCATTTTTAGTTTTGTTACCTTAGATTTAACAACATTAACTGATATCTTAAACCTAAGTTAACAAAATAAAGTTATTGAGGGTCTTTAATAAGAGATGTGATTCTCCTTGAATTAGATTTTATGTATTCATCACATGTTTTTGGAGTGCCCAGAACATCTTTCAAAATGTTTCAGGGTTCAACTGGATTTTTTAAAAAAAATCCCTAAAATTGAGAATAAATTATAACCATTTCACGAAGTATCTGATTTTTTTTCCTGAAATGCCTTACTGGATATAGATTTTTTAAAATTAAAATGTATTTATATGCTGCTTTTACATAATTGTGCTCAAAGTGGCTCACAGAGTGAAGACATATCAATATTTGTATACAACAAATGTACAAATTTGTAAACATTTCATAAACTGACATTTGTGTATGCATTAGCTATAGTTAACAAACAAAAGTTTTTTCCTAAATGTATCAATTATTTTGAAATTTAGAACAATTATCATAAAACAAATACTTTTAGTTATCAAACCTTACATTAATTCATATAACTAAAAATATAAAACAGCAAAATGCATAAATATCAAAATATTAAGTTTTAAATAAATTACGTTCATCTGTCAAAGCAGCAGCATTTCACTAAGTCAGCCGAAATTCCAGGTACATTAAATTCAGTTAAGATAAGAGTAGCAGAACACTTGACATTCTTCAGAGGTTCAGTAGTATGAAATTTTGAGGGGTTTCTTGATTTTTCCCCAGTATTGTTAAATGAAGGTCCTGCTTATAGTGGTTGCTCTTCATATTTCAATTTCACTTGAAATTTTGATTGTGCCATATGTAAAAGGTAAAGGGACCCCTGACTGTTAGGTCCAGTCGAGGACGACTCTGGGGTTGCGGCGCTCATCTCGCTTTACTGGCTGAGTGAGCCTGCGTTTTGTTCGCAGACAGCTTCCGGGTCATGTGGCCAGCATGACTAAGCCACTTCTGGCTAACCAGAGCAGTGCATGGAAATGCCATTTACCTTCCCACTGGAGTGGTACCTATTTATCTACTTGTACTTGACGTGCTGTCAAACTGCTAGGTTGGCAGGAGTGCCCTATGTAGATCTAAATAAAAATAGAGATATATATTCAGGCCTATTCTAAATGCTCCCCAGTGTAGAATTTTCCTTTTTCACAGCTTCCTCGTACTGTGTTAACTTCTTCATAGCTACCCAGTATGACACCAAGGTCTTATTCCTGTCAGTCACTGGCAATTCAGATCCCATTAGCATATATGTGAAATTACGATTCTTTTTGTCCCAATGTGCCTATTTTCCATTTGCTATTTTACTGCTCGGTCACTCAGTTTAAATGTATCTTTTTGGAGTTCCCAGCAAACACTTTTTGTTTTAACCTCCTCTATCAGTTGGGTATCATCATAAGAACAGCCCTGCTGACCTACAACCCTTCTAGTCATGTGTCTCACAGTGGCCAACCAGATCCCTATCACCAGCCAGGTTGACTACCTCACTACACATCCCTAACACTAGATAATTTATGAACAAGTTAAAAAGCACAGGTCCAAACACAGAACCCTGGGGCACCTCACTTACTTATCCCTCTGGTGGGAGAACTGTCCATTTCTGCTTGCTGAGCAGTGAACATTCGCAGGGAAAAATTGATAGGAAGACAGAATGATAAATATTAAATGTTTATAGATCACACTTTTCATAAAAATACTACATACATGCATAATTTTATTTGTATGCTGCCTTCCCACAGCTCAAACCATACTCAAGGTGGCTTACAACATTAAAAGAATGCATAACTATAACATTTAAAAAATATACAACCAAACTGAACAATTTCCACATAAATCACAGGGTCTAAGATAAAGATATAATAAACCAACAGCAATAACCCCACCAAACAATACCCCAGCCCAAGGGTATATCCCCAACATATGGTATACAATGTACAAAACTTTGATAAAAGCTTGTTGGGGAAAAGAAATTCCTGTTTCAAAGGACTTTCTGAGTAATGGATTTCAATAGATGTCTGAAAGTAGGCAGGGGTTATTCCTCCCAAGCCTCTACTGGCAGGGAGTTACACAGGTCTCAGGACCTGCCACAGGAAAAGACTCAGTCCTTTGTAAAGGCCAACTGAACCTCATAGGTGTGAAGAACCCACCAGAAGTTCCCTATCAGAGGATCTCGATTATTAAGGTGGAACATAAGGAATCAAGCAGTACTTGGGGGGGCTTAAAGTGCTCTGGGCCAAAGTTGCTTAGGGGTTTGTGAGTTAACACAAGCACATTTGTCCCTGACCCAGTAGTGATTGGCAGGCAGTGCAGTTCTCTCAACAAGTTGCCAGTAATCTGCAGGCTGGTTGTTGCACTGTGCCCAAGCTGGAGCTTCCAGATTAGATACTCCCATCCACTGCCTGTTACCTGTAAGTGCCCACCTGCAACCACATTCTCATCAGAGCTCATAGTATGCTTCAATCTCTGTGGATCTTCTTTGTTTGCCTCAGACTTCAGTAGGACATCTATTGTTCCTCTAATGTAATCTCAGCTAAAGTTATTCTTTTTCAACTTTGAAATGCCCAAAAGGCATGTGAGTCTCACCTGACTAATCTCTTCCAAAAGCTTTCTGTTCAGTAATAACCTGACCTTTTCCCTTGGAAGTAGATTGTATTTCACTTTCTGCCTCTTAATTCATGTTTCATTTAAAGTTTTGACTTCTAATCAAGTTCTAACCTCTTCTAGAATTTGACCTAATATAAATTCTCAATACTTCTGTATGTTTGACCATTTATAGACTCTTTCATCACAAGAAAACTCCTACAGTTCTTGTAACAGCCAGTCAGATAGTCAGTATGGTTCTCCTCCCAAAGGGTGGTCAGAAGAGTTGGATGAACATGGCCAAACGCTATATACCAGTGACTATACTAAGGAAAAGGTACACACTTTTCTTCATCACATATATTCTAAGCTAGTAGAAATTTAGTAAGTAAGAACTCAAATAGGTGTGATTTTGTCATTGGTGATGGAAAAGTATTGCTTAGTGACAGTTTCTTCCCACTCCCTTGAACATTTTTGTTTTTTGCTCATTTCTAGGCGCTTTTTTGTTTGGTCTCTAAGAAACTGCTCTTATATATTAGGACTGTACTGTGTTTAGCTTCCACTTTTCCTGCAAAAAAATTATGTTTAGAAATGTCATTGTACAGTCTTATATGTACTCTGTAGGTTTCTTATGTTGGATAGCAAGGTTTTAAAGTTTTGAATATGTATTACCAACCCGGTGTCATGTTTGGCAAGTTATAAAGTTCAATTAATTTTCTTATCTGTGGACTGCATAATATCTCATTATCAACAGCTGCTTTCCCTCCCTACTGTGTTACATGTTTGTTTAACAAAAAGTAACTCTAAAAATGATGCTTGAAGGAGATGCAATTCTCCCCTTCATGCTGGAATAAACAGATTACTATCCTATTAATGTCATCTATAAAATTCAATATTTGAATTATGAGAAGCATAATGTTTAAAACTTCAGAGATTTCTATATTAAATCATCATCGAAAACAACCATGTGCCTGGTCACACTAGCCACAAGGCAAGACAAACTACACTCACTATCTCCTCCTACAAAAGAGAGGGAAATGGTGACACATTCTGTCTCCAGAACCAAGGTCTCTTGCTCTGAAAGGGGAGAGTCTTGGGGACGGGGCTGTGCCATGTGCTGCCTCCAGAATAGAGCTCTATACTGCTGTTGTCGCCTTGGACAGATACTGGCTGTTTTGACTGATCCCCATTTTTTGTCCCCCTCTAGCAGTGCGAGTAGAAAAGAGAGCAAAAGCAAAATCTAGTTCCAGTGTGTGTGTTCCATTCTATTCAGACTCAGCAGACATTGTTCCTGCTTCTCATTCTGTTCCCCACCTCCCAAAATACTGTGAGAACAAGCTGTGCTGCATTTGAATGATGGATAGATCTGAAGAGCTATGTGAGAGACTGAGTTCTGAGATACTGCTTAGATCAGGGACTCCTGTGGATTTCCCTCTTTCCTCTCCTCCAAAGCCTTGTTCTGTTTAGATGCAGTGTGTTCAGTGGGGGGCGGTTGTTGTTGTTTGCTTGGTTATAACTATTCAGGTAGTGGAGAATTGCCTTCAGTTATAATAGTTGGGCATTTAGCCTACAATAAACTGTTCTTCCACTAAAAAGAATGAAATGTACATCCAATTTTCCTTTACTATGTTAAGCAAGATTAAGTTTTCCTAGTACTATATGATAGTCATGAGTCACAACGCTGCACCTAAAAACACCATTACAGACAATAAGACTTCTAAATCAATGCACTTAGGATCATATCCTTTGGAAATCTATTGTTAATTATATGTCCTAATGTGGTGTGTGTGAGAGAGAGACAGAGAGAATGAATTTTACTTTACTTTAACTTCAGTGAAGAACTTGGTCCTCTGTTGAATTGCATACCTTGCGGAAGCATTCCACTTGACTCTTGGGAGTATGGGAATGCCTTGTAACAAGGCATATGTAGAAGCTAGACAGTTATGCCTTTGTGGACAAGTGGGTGATTTTTTTATTTTGGTGTACTGCTTAGTGCCTTCTGATTTCTGGTATTCTCCTGAAGGAGGTTAGGCTCAGTAAAACTTGGTATGATTTTGTTCTTTTCATGTTCTTAAGAAAAAGGGTCTATTCAGGATTGTGTAACACGGCTAGTTATGCCTTTAACTGTGAATTGTTCTGAAGCATGCACTCCTTAAAATGCTTGTTACCTTAAAATGCTGTGGGATAGGGGTTCTAGTAAAAAAATATATTATACTATGGAAAAATAAAGTTAGCCCACCTCTTATAGGGTTCTTGCCTAAGGCAGAAGATTTTCACATGCAAAATAACCCTATTTTGAATAAAATTACAATATGGCTCTTTTTAGAATGTCTTCAAAAATGGAGCTGCTATAGTTGACAGTAGGGAGAAGAACCAGTTTTATGTTGTAAAAAAGCTGCTGTTCTTATTTAGAAACCATGGGACTTAAATGTGTATAAAGCAGAATTTTAAATCATTACAATTATTATTTCTTACAATATAAATTAATTGTGACAACATAATACTGTGTACTATACATTTATTATAGTTCCAGGTATGTGACCAAAAATACTTTGAACGGACAGCCATATTTCAGGAATGCTCTAGTTCTGGGCTTCCTGGACTAAGCAGGGGGTTGGGCTGGATGGCCTTTTAACACCCCCTCCCTATTCCCAGGTGTGATTCCACGGGTCTTTATAACCAGCTCTGGCTATATAAAAACAGAGGTTTTCTGTCTGTGTGTTTGGAGGGGGCTCAGAATCTGAAGTATTTCTGTTCTCCCATTTGACATATTTATAAATTAAAGATCTGGGGTTTTTTGTATTAAGTGTTTTATTAACTTTTGTTTCTGTAGTGGATAAAGCATGTTGATGAACAAGGTCGGCCATACTACTACAATGCAGATGGATCCCGGTCAGAATGGGCACTGCCAAAAGTGAGTAACCAAAGGAAAACAATGTTTCCAGCTTCCATCAAAAGCTGTATCTTGCTGCAATTCATTCCAAAACACATGTTTTTTTTATATCTCTGGAATAGGTGTTGTTGTGTATTTGGCAATCCTCTTTAAACCGATTTTGCAAAAAAACATAAATCCTGTTGGGCCTGCCCCAGAACTTAGGCACGCCCACATTCAGTAAAAATATCCCCAGGCATAGTGGGAACCCAATATTTTTTAGAATTTTTTGAAAAAGTATTATTCCCCACCCCCCTTCCAGGTCCATTGAGCACTGAACATGTTTGCTAACATTAAGTTAGTTGAGAAAGAAAACCAGAAGGGAGGGTGAAAATGGAACTGACGGGAAGCTGCGAGTGAACTGGAAGATGGGGCTGAAGCAGCCCAGGAGATTTCCAGACCCTGCTGATCAGCTGGCAGGAGAGGCTATAGCTGAGAGAGAATGCAAGGAACGCACATGGGGCGAGGAGGAGGAGGAGAGTGGGAGGTAGACGGTTGTATCTCAGCATCTGTTCCTTGGCTGCATTTCCCTTCATTTCTCTCCTCTCTTTCCCCCTCCAAGAGATTGTGAAAGAAGATTGAGAAAGTGTCAGTTAGAGGCAATCATTTCAATGTCTGGGTGGGTCACTTCCTAGTTCACAATGGGAAACTATTTTTAAATGTCTCCAAGGACAGAAGTGAAAGTCACCCATAGAAATCCAAGACTTAATGTGGCAGGAATTTGACACCTGCTTATCTGCTCCCCCACAAGGTAGTAGCTAGAAGGAGAGTCACTGCTCTTTCTAACTCATTGCTTATTTAGTGTGAAATATTTTTCTTTCTTTCTTTTAAACAAACTTGCTAATGCAAAAGCTGCTAATGCACCTCGTTGTTTGCAAATTGCCTGTTAGGAAGGGCAGTTGCTGGGAGAGTGTAGTTCATGACTGTCCTGCAGTGCAGTTAACTGAATACTGCAAATTAGTCTCTGATTGGCTTGTAACAGTCCTGTAGTTTTGTATAGAGGCATTCCAGGTTGAGCTGATACTGTGAAAGCAACTCACAACAACCCTGCAGTATTTCCCCATTGCTTTTATACCTGAGTTGGAGATTGAGCTGAGAGTAGTATACAACAAGTCTGCAGTGCTTATTATTAGAGAGAGGTGGTTGTACTCTGAACTTTGGGCAGCTTTGCAATGTAGTCCACTGTTAATACCGCAGGCCAAAGCTGTGCATTGGCTGGCCAGGGCAAATTCAGCACTCATATGCATGTTGAAGCCACATGCTCTACTGATGTGCATGTGCACTGGTTGAACATCAGTTATTGATGCTTTTTAAAACGTCACATGAAATAAGATCCAAGTTAGAACAGGGAGTTTGGGCTTTGATGCTGACCTTTTTCCAACCCTTTCAGCTGCACCCTCAGGTGACACGAATACACTGTAACATTTTGTTGAAGAGTCCCAGTTATTATTTGTAATCTCTCCCCCCACCCGCACACATAAGTGGACAAACACCTTGAAATAAGGCCATTGACTCTGTAAAGAGCTGCTTTTCAGCAAAACTATAAGCAAAGGGAACAGTCATACGGTATCCCATACAGTAAGCTGTCTTAAATTATAAAAGGTAAAGGGACCCCTGACCATTAGGTCCAGTTGTGGCCGACTCTGGGGTTGCAATGCTCATCTCGCTTTATTGGCTGAGGGAGCCGGCGTACAGCTTCCGGGTCATGTGGCCAGCATGACTAAGCTGCTTCTGGCGAACCAGAGCAGTGCATGGAAAATAGGAATTGGCAAATGTGCTTATGGATTCATTGAGATGTTGGGAGAATTGTGTTTCCTTTGCCTCTGTGATCCTAGAGGTGATGAAGCTGACTCCTTCTTAAATGAAGTTAAAAGATTTGGAACTAACTTCAGAGCATGCATACTCTCTTCTCACATTTTCCCAGCATATTGATGCATCCATAATTACAGTGCAGGAAGGTCTGTTTTAGAAGAACATCATGGGGACGTGAGAATGTTAATTAGAAGAACATTGAGTGGCAAAGCTGTTCCAAATTTAAGAAAAGGCATGAGAGAGGTCTCTGACAGACAAAAGAATGCAGGAAACAATTGAAAACTTTGGGCTTTATATGCCATTGTTTTCAAAATATGGCCCCAAATACTTCAAGGCATTGGAGACGTCTGCTTTCAGAGTTTGTGCTTCAATCCTTTGCCATTAAAATATTTGACATCAATGTGCATAGCAGTTTGCAAGGGCAGGCCTTTCCACTGGAAGCCTTGTACAGCGTAGACCAAGTTCTAGGCCAGAATTTTTTCCCCCAGCCCTATAATTGCAGAACAGTTACATCTTGTTTTTAGAAGATGAGCTTAGATTTTGATGTGTTTTACTGATATGTGTATTGAGGATACAATTTGGCTCAATTTTGATATGGTTGTATAGTTTTATCATTAGCAAAAGGCTGGAATTTCACGCATGTAAGCACAGTTGGTCATAAGTCAAACCATTTTGTTAAATATCTGGTTTTGGGGAAAGGGGCACAATGTTTAAATTTTGTAGAATAACACTTTAAGTTATTTAGTTACACTCCATCTCTAAGTATCTCCTATCATTCAGAACTGTTTATATTCAGACATGGAACTAAACCATGCTCCTCCAGTCCATTTTCTAGGTCCATATCCCAGTCTTTTACCTCTTCACATGCATCTTTGGTTCATTGGTTTTGATTCTGTCCAAAATGCTGAATATGAGCTTTGGAAATAAATATGTGTCACTCTGGGAAGCTTACCCTGGGCTGCCTAACAGCAGACACCATGCAACGGGTTCAGCCTCAGTGTTGGCCAAAGAGCTCTTCATTTCTGAAAAGCATATTGGTCATTTTTGTGCAGAGCTTCCTTGTATTGTGATGAAATATTGTCATGCTACTGCACTTGGGACTACTAGGATCGATGCCACTTGTTGTGTAGGTGATGAGACTCAGTCAGTCAGTCAGTCAGTCAAGTTTATTGCTTAGAGCCAAAGGCTGCTGCACTGTATGCAACATCGTTCAATAAAATATATACTAGTTTGATACAAAAACTTGAAACATTTACTTTATCAAAACATAACCTAATCTGCACAAAGCTATCGAAACTCCTTAATATACAAATTGAAACATTAGACAATAAAATTTGTAAGCTAAAATCACCACGGGGCCACTAATATATTCATCAATCTTTATTACGGTCCAGAGACCCAACAAATCGTTACAAAGCAATGCACAATTCATACAGCCTACCTCCAGGTTAAACAAGCATTTTGTTCAAAAGATAGGGATCACTGGTTCTTGCAACCACCGATAAAAACTTTGCCACTGCTAATATTCTAGTGTTTGTTCGGTCTTCCAATAGGAACCTGACATAGTGAGCCTCTGATTTTCCCAGGAAAGGTACCAGCAAGGGTAATATCAGTTCAGCCCTGGCTTGCTCATATTTTGCACAGTGCAGCAAAATATGTTTTATGGAATCGATGTCTTGAGCACACAAGCAAAGTCTGTCCTGGTAGGGAACTCCTCTCAACCTGCCATCCAACACTGCAGAAGGAAAGTTTAGTCTGGCTTTGGTGGAAAGCCTTCGATAATTCGGTTCTATCAGGTTTTTAATGTAAGGTGTTAACTTAAAGACATGCCCATACACTAATATATTAAAAAATGAGACTCAATATATTTAGGGGCTGATTTTCTTTGACAAACTGCTGTGTGTGTGTGTGTGTGTGTGTGTGTGTTTTTAAGTGATACAGGACTGGATTTTTCACTTAATGATACTGGCAGATCTTAATTTGGATATTTTTTCTGACATTTGTGGCGCTCTTCTTAATGCCTATAGCTTCCTTGAATTCAGTACTAGGTTTGGGGAACTCAAAATTCTTCATCAGGCTCTACAACTAACTCACTGAGGTATGATACACATAAGCTAGATATCTCTGTCTTTCCTGTCATGTCCTTTCACCTTATCCTAGACAAGGCAGACTTGGAGAGGAATAAGGAATGAACCAAGTTCTTTGTTTCTAGCCTGAGATGAGAGCCAGAAGGAATACTCAGCATGCAACGTAGCTGCCAACTTTAGTCTGCAACCAAATGTACTGGATCAATTAATGCAAGAAAAACACTTAAGTGATTTGATTGGGGAAGGGGTGGAAATCAGTTATGCCACATACATCTAGGATTGTTATCCATTTCCCCCTCATGCTAATTTACAGACAGCCTTGACTATTTTTATCTGCTTATTAATAACAGAGATGAATGCTAGGGAAGGTTCCAGGAATATCAATACTGTCACATTCTGTGCTATCTGCATTGGAATGAGAACACTTCTAATGTTAATTCTGATACTTTGTATTTGTTTGTTACCAGTGGATTTGGGAATGAATTTGGAAAGTTAAGAGTCAAGGAATAGCAGAAAAATCTTCATGCACCTTTGTAGAAATGTTGGAACAGCAATCCATTATTTTACATGGAAGTGCCGTGTAATATTTTAGATTTAGTAAACAAATTTTTATCATAGTGGTACCTCAAGAATGGTACTCTGGAGGGAAAGGGTTTATAGAGGGGCTTGGCTTGTACCACAGTAGGATTATGTTGACCTATGATACCAGCCTAATGGAATTGGACTAAAATGGCTCTGAATAGACTGGAAAATAATCTGTAAGCCATGGTATCAACTTTTTCTGCTGTATAAAATCTCAGCTGCCACTCCTGTCTTTTACGATTTGTAGCATCAGGAAAGCCTGCTATAAAAGAGCCTTCCTATTTTTGTAAAACTGTACTCCAAAACATATGAGTTGCATAGTTATTCAATTCATATATTGCCTACTTGGACCAATGTAATTAAGCCCAGTATGACACTAGTGTCCTTCTGTGGGGCCTTACTACAGATTTGATTAATTGATTGGGTAAGTATTGCATGGGCAGGAGGCATCTTTTGTGTGTACTGTAGACTCATATACGGTCTACCTTCTGCAGCCATTCA